ATAACTCTCAAGGAGGTGGATATAGAGGGCACATACCTCAACACAATAAAGGCTACATCTGATAAGACCCTACTAACATCATACTCAGTGGTGAGAAGCTGAAAGCTTTTAAGATCATGTGCAAACAAGGATAGCCACTCTTACCCAAAACAGTATTGGAAGTTCTGGCCACAGCAATTAATTAAGCAAGAAACAGAAATAAAAGGCATCCAAATCAAAAAGTTAAACTGTCACTATTTGCTGATGACATATTATAATAATGAAAACTTTAAAGATGCCATTGAAAAACCCTGTTAGAACTAATACATTCAGTAAAGTTGCAGAATACAAAATCAATATACAATAATGAAATATCTATCAGAAGGAGAAATTAAGAAAACAATCCAATTTGTATTTGATTCAAAAAGAATAAAATACCTAGGAATAAATTTAACCAAGAAGGTGAAAGATCTGTACACCAAAAACAAGATACTGATGAAAAAAATTAAAGATACAAATAAATGGAGAGATATTCTATATCCTGGATTGGAAGAATATTGTGAAAATGTCCATACTACCCAAAGCAATCTACAGATTCAGTGCAATCCCTATCAAAATTTCAATGACATTTTTCCCAGAAATAGAACAATCTTAAAAACTGTATGGAACCACCAAATATCGTTAATATCTGAAGCAATCTTGAGAAAGGAGAACAAAAAAGAATCATGCCTCCTGATTTCAAACTGTATTACAAAGCTATAGTAATAAAGTATGCTTTTTTGAAAAACAGACACATACTCCAGTAGAACAGAATAGAAAGCCCATAAATAAGTCAATTGACCATATATGTGTTGGTTTATGACAAAGGAGCCAAGTATATACAAAGGGGAAAGTACAGTCTCTTCAATAAATGGTATTGAGAAAATTGAACAGTCACATGCAAAAGAATGAAACTGGACTACTATCTTACACACAAAAGGAACTCAAAATGGATTAAAGACCTGAACATAAAACTTGAAACTGTATAACTCCTAGAAAGAAACATAGGTGATAAGCTTCTTAGGATTTGTCTTGGTGAAGATAATCTGGATTTGACACCAAAAGCAAAAACAACAAAAAGAAGTGAGAATATGTCAAACTAAAATCTTTTGCAAGCAAAGTAAACTATCAACAAAATGAAAATGCAACCTACCAAATGGGAGAAAATATTTGCAAATCATGTATCTGACAAAAGGTCAATAACCCAACAAATATAAAGAACTCATATAACTCAATAGCAAAAAAAAAAAAATCCTATTAAATAATAAGAGTATCTGAATAGATATTTTTCTAAAGAAGGCATACTGATGGCCAACAAGGACAAAAAAGTTGCTCAACATCACTAATAATTGGGAAATGCAAATTAAACCCACAATGACATATTGCCTCACACCTGTTAAAATGGCTACTGTCAAACAGACAAGAAGTAACAGTTTTGGGGAAGATACAGAGAAAAGGGAACCCTTGTGCGCTGTTGCTGGGAATGTAAATTGGTGCAGCCACTATGGAAAACAGTATGGAGGTTTCTCAAAAAATTAAAAATGGAACTATCTTATGATCTAGCAATTTCTTCTGGGTACTCAGCAAATGGAAGTAAAAACTAACTGGAAAAGATATCTTCATGCCCATGTTCACTGCAGCATTGTTTACAATAGCCAAGACATGGAAGGAACCAAAGCGCCCATCAATAGATGAATGGATAAAGATTTGGTATATGTACACACACACACACACACACACACACACAATGGAGTATTACTCAGCCATAAAAAATAAGGAAATTTTGCCATTTGTGACAACTTGGATGGGACCTTGTGGGCATTATGTTAAGTGAAATAAGCCAGAGAGAGAAAGACATACCATGTGATCTCCCTTATATGTGGAATTTAAAAAACAAACAAATATAAATAAGGGGGGGGGGGAAGCAAAACAAGCTCATGGATACAGAGAACAGTGTAGTTGCCAGAGGCAAGTGTGAGGGTATAAGTGAAATGGCTGAAGTAGGTCCAAACTTATAAAATTTCAGTTATAACAGAAGTAATCCTGGGGATGTAATGTACAACATGGTGACTATAGTTAATAATATTGTATATATGAGAGTTGCTAAGAGAGGAGGTCTTAAAAATTCTCATCAAAAGAAAGAAAAAAAATTTGTAACATGATGAACATTAACTAGACTCATTATGATCATTCTGCAATATACAAATGTCAAAATATTAGGTTGTATACCTGAAATAATTATGTCAATCAGACCTCAATTAAAAAAACCCGTTAGAACAAGTAAATGAATATAATAAAGTTTCAGGATACAAAATCAACATACAGAAATCATTTGCTTTTCTAGACACTAACAATGAATTCACTGAAAGAGAAATTAAGAAAGCAATTCCATTTACAGCAGCACTATAAACAATAAAATACTTAGGAAAAAATTAACCGAGGAGGTGAAAGAACTGTTTACTGAAAACTATAACATACTGATCAAAGAGACTGAAGCAAACACAAGTAAATGGAAAGATATTCCACGTTCCTAGATAGGAACACTATTGTAGAAATGTCTAGTACCCAATGTGACCTACAGATCTAATACAATCACAACCAAAATTCCAATGTCGTTTTTCACAGAAATTTAAAAAACTACCTTAAAATATGTTTGGAACCATTAAAGACCCTGAATAGCAAAAGTAATCCTGAGAAAGGACAAAGCTGGAGGCATCACAATACCTCATTTAAACTATATTAAAAGCTATAGTAATTTATACGTTTTTATGGTATGGCATAACAACATTCCTGTGGAAAAGAATGGAGAGCCCAGAGATAAATCCATGCATATACATTCAACTAGGACTTGACAAAGAAGCCAAGAATACTCAATGGAAAAAGATAGTCTCTCCAATAAACGGCGCTGGAAAAATTGGATATTCACTTGGAAAAGAATGAAACTGATCCCTATCTTACCCTACTCAAAAAAATTAACTCAAAATGGATTCAAGACTTAAACGTAAACCTGAAACTATTAAACTCCTAGAATAAACGTAAGAAGGAAGCCCTTTGACATAGATATTCGCAATGATGTTTTGGATATGACCTCTAAAGCATGAACAACAAAATAAAAACCAATAATAAAAAGTGGGGTTACTTCAAACTAAAAAGTTTCTGCACAGCAAAAGAAACAATCAACTAAAGGAAAAGACAGCCTGTAGAATAGGAGAAAATATTTGCAAATCACATATCTGATAAGGGGTTAATAAAAACTCATTACCTACCTAACAGTAAAAACAAACAAAAAACAACCCAAATAATCCAATTAATTGATTTAAAAATGGGCAAAGGACTTGAATAGACATTTTCCCAAAGCAGATACCCAAATGGCCACCACGTGTATGAGAAGGTGCTCAACACCACTCATCATTGGGAAATGAAAATCAAACCGACAATGGGATATCACCTCCTGCCTGTTACAAAGGCTGTCATCAAAAGGACGAGAGGTAAATGCTGATGAAGATATGAAGAAAAGGGAACCCTTGTGTGCTACTGGTGGGGATATAAATTGATGCAGCCACTATGGAAAACATTTTGTAGGTTACTCAAAAAATTACAAATAGAACTACCATATGATCTAGCAACTCCACTTCTGGGAACACATTGAAAGGAAAAGAAATCACTATGTCACAATGTTTGTGGTAGCATTATTTATCACAGCCAAGACACAGGAACACTAAGTATCCATTAGGAGATAAATAAAATGTGGTATATATTGTCAGCCATGAGAACGAAGGAAGTCTTGCCATCTTAAGGCAACATGGATGGACTCTGAAGGCATTATGCTAAGCAAAATAAGTCAGATAAAGACAAATACCACTTATATGTGGAGTCATATTGAACTTGTAAAAAGTGAGTGCAGCATGGCGGTTACCAGGCGTTGGGAATGGGGGAATTGGAGAAATGTTAAGGGGACAAACTTGTAACTAGTGGACAACAAAGTGATTATAGTCAACAGTACTGTATTATACACTGTAAAATTGCTGAGACACTAGATCTGAACTATTCTCTACATACACAAAAATAACTGAGACATGGTAAAGGTTTTCACTAATGCTACTGAAGTAATCATATTGCCATATATAAATGTGATCAAAGCGACACACTGCACCTGAAACTTATAAAGGTTATATATAAATTATATCTTAGTAAAACATAATTTTTAAAAATCCCATTTTTGCTTTATTTGAGCATTAATCAAGAGAAAGGGTATTTTTGTTTCGAATGATCCAGATAACTGTTTCAGTTCTTCCTTTTAATTTCTGGTGCACTGAGGGTATAATGCTAACCTTTGGGACTGAACTTGAACAAATCACTATATTGTAGGTCAGAGGATTATTCATTTAAGTAAACACGCACACACTTGGGAACCTGATTGATACCTTAGAGATTTAGTTTAACTCAAGTTTTCTCAATTCAGCACAACTGGCATTTTGGATCAGATAGTTCTTTGCTGTAGGAGGCTGTCCTACGCATTGTGGGATGTTCAGTACATACCTGCCCTCTGCCCCACAGATGCCAGGAGCACCCCTCTCCTCCCCCTACACTGAGGCAACCAAAAATGCCTCCAGACATTGCCAAATGTTCCCAGGCATGGGAGGGGTGCAGAAACG